TCTGTTTCTCCACCTTATCTGATTCAGCACAAGAAGTTCAAATGCAAAATAATGTAGTTATTGTAATTAAATAATGTTCAAAATAACTTTTAATAGTAACATTTATTGACAGATTAATTAAAAGAACCATTGAAAACCGGTAATTGAAAACTCTTCCCATCATGACGGAGACCAGATATGACTGCCACAGTGATATTGTTCAGCAAATGAGTTGTAATGTTATCATGAAAGCGTGGTCACGGATCATTTTCAGAGAAATTTTAACTAAGCAAATAGCCATAAAATAAAAATGTATTTGCAACATGTCATTATTTGTATACAAAACATTTGTTCATTAAGTAATTGCTTGACGTTGAAGTTAAAACCTTTTTGTTTACATTATTCCAGTCATAAAAATATTCATATCTGCTGGACTGTAACCATGGAAATTAACAGATACTTCGAAATGTGCACACAAAAATATTTCGCTTCATTGACGTTTTAACATGTTTATATTTGCTTCCACCTCTCAAACTGGATTTTTAATATTTTAAATTTATATTTCTTGAATACGCGTTTTCAATGAAGGTTTTTTACACCATTTGAAACTAATGTGCATTGTACAGTTGTATATACAACTATTAATTTCAAATACTGACTATACTTCGATTAAAACAGGAAGTATTTTTCAAGGTCGTGAGCAGGCAGGATACGAGGACACTGTCATAGACTTGCGAGCTTTGTTAAGACTTTTGTTATTGAATCCCCGGATTGGATTACAGTGCCCGCCTCTCTTTTCAGCACTTGATCTTGAAAGGACTTCTATTTAAAAAAACAAAGTATACTACATTCAATACAATGGGATTACATCCAAATTCTAGGTTTTTCGATTAGTTCTAGACTTGTTTAGATTCCTTCTTATTAGTACCTGAATACATACGTGAATCTACATTTCAATTTTGCGTAATTGTTATAATTCACTAAAAATACGAATTTAATTTTCACCCAAAATGAAAGTTTAAAACACCACTTGTTGACAAAAAATGATTTTCAAGGATTATCAGAATTAACGGTACCTACGTCATCATGCTCGTCGATAGCAGAAAAATGGGCCAATAATCATTTGAGCGCATAAACTGTTACTTTCCCTAGTGCTGTACTCTCCCCAATCCCTAGGCTTTGTGGCTTGGTTTTTCAACAATGTCGATGTTCAGCCATTAGCAGAGCCACGCTTTGCAAGTCGCCCGTAGTTCGCTTCTGTCGGGGATTACAACTTCAGGTGGCGGAGAGCCTGGCCGCCTGCAGATCTCTGCCGCGGTGCGCGGACCCCTATTAACGCTAAGCCGGCTGCGAGCGAGGATTTTAGTTGTGAGTTTTCGCTGAACGCGCGAGTGAGTGGGAATGCAGATGAATGGTGAGACATGGGTACGAAAGGCGAAATGCGCGAAGGGATGATAGTTCATTATAAATTTCCTTAATAAACGAGGGTCTGCACGATCAATTATGCTCTTAGGAATAAAACGGGTCTGCGAATTTCTGCTGATGGTAAAAATGTTTACAAACTTTTTCTTGTATTTTCTGTCTCCTTTCGTTTTGTAGACTTTTGTATTGCAACAGATTTTGAGAAAAATCAATGTTAATTCTTCCCTCATAATATATTGGGTTGCGTAAAGTTAAAATATTTTGCAGAGAGATCAAAAATGTTTGCCCAGCAATCTTCAAATATTTTGAAAAGCTCTTGAGAAGACGGAAAAGTACACTTAAAAAGTTTGAATTAGGGAAGTGATTTGCGAATGAACCTTAGTGGATGAGGACTGAGGGTACAGTTTTGAGATACAAGAAAATAGATGCTATTGTTGTATAGTTTGAAATGGTAATCAAAGATGAAAATAGTTCTTACTGTAAGATGAAGACTTAAGAACGGCCCGAATGACAGAATATCAAATAAGAGAGGGGAAGGAAGCGGAGTTAGCTAGAACAAAATATTATTGTATATTGTATTTATTAAAACTCGAAATCAAAAGCTCACAAATATTTTTTTCTGAAAGTTTTTCTTTTGTTCACCACGAAGTTTAAACTACTACATTATTAATATTTATATTTACTTTCCTCATGGAAACATTGGCATCCATTTTTATTATCCCTCTCTGCATAACACTGATGGCATTGAGTGGGTTACGTTATTTAGAAATCGACTTCTGCAAAAATAAATTTCCCATTGGACGACCTTTCGGAAAGCTTTTAAGAAACTCCTTGACAATATTAGCGTTGGTTATAATTTATTTTTAATTAACGTAATGCAGCTAACTGCCAATGAAATTTAAAAATATGAAGTTCCAAAACGAAGGGATCTCCCAATGATCATTCATAACGTTCTAATAGTTAAAAGAATAGCTAACTTAAAATGTTTTTCTCAAAAAATTTCCTCAGCCATTGCACAGAGAAGTTGCCTCACAAAACGTATGCGATGGGCACATAAATCTATACATAATAATACCCTGTAGTTTTTCATGATATCATGAAATATCGCAAGAAATATCTCAAAAACTTAGACTTTTGAAATGGAATATATAGATTTCTTTAGCCTGTGATAATGAGACTGAAGTGACTAGTTCATACATATGCATATTATCCTATATTGTTACATATTATCCTACAATGTTTTTGAGAAACGTAAAAATTTTACGATGCACACCGACTCTTAATATTTTGCCATTTCCGCAAGGAAACGCGTTTCGAGGTCGTTCTGTTCTGGCGCGTTTGTGCTTCGGGATGAAAAAGATTGCAGCGCCAAATCCCGCACGGAAATTCCACGAAAACGCGGGGCGATTACTTTGACTTTTGCAATACAATGTTCATCTGTTCCTGTATTTGCGTGAAGTATAACATATTAATCATTGTTTTATTAACTCGGGCAAAAAGAGAATAAAATTCCATTTTTATTCCCCAAGAAATGCGTTTCTTAATCAATAATTTGAGATATACTTAGAGACCTATCAAAATTACGCTTTATTTGAATTTACTCGTATGTAAATATTAGATTTTAGATTTTTAATGTTCTATTATAGGTATTACCGAGGAAGTTGAAAATAAGCAGTATTGTGTATAAGAAAATTTCTGTTGCTAATGTTGCTATTGAGATTTACGACGATAATTAAATTGTTTAAGTACACGGAATTTTCAATGTATGCAAAAATGTACATTATTAGTACGTGTGCGCTGATTAAATTTTGAAAGCAATATTTTAGATAGCGTTTAAAATATTGAGATTTCTTGCAATTTTTCAGCAATTCACCAGTTTAGGAAATTAATTTAGAGTATTACTAAGTAAATGAGGGACTTAACTAAGAATAGTAGGACATAGAGCAAAGCATAAGTGATATAAAGTGAAATGAGGTGTTGTGCAGTGTAGAGCAGAGAAATAATGAAGGACGTGATTCAAGAGCCATACTGTAGTGAAGAGCCAGTGTATTATTATTATTATTATTATTATTATTATTATTATTATTATTATTATTATATAATTTGCATGTTAGCTATATTATCTTATTTATCTAATTAGCTGCCTCCACGTTATACCCATTTGCAGTTTAAATAAATTTATCTTTATTTCTTTTATGCATGAAACCATGCAACTCAGACATGTCTTCCAAAATATTGAAAAGTTAACTATTCCAGAAAGGACATGCGAGCACAATCACGCTTCAACTATTACGAACATTACCCAGTGCAATGAGCGAGGACGATCTGTACTCAGATCGTGAAAAGAATTCAACTCAGAAAACGCGAATAGCGTAGAACCCTTCGAAAAGTGTTCGCAGCAACGTCCTCGCCCCGACCCTGCGTGGTGTGCTGTAGTCCGCCGAAGAACCACTCCTGTTTACAAGAGTCCGGGGGGTTAACGACAGCGTCAGTCGAGGAAGCATAAATGCGGTTTAATGCGCCTCCAAACAGCAGGAGGAGCAGCCCTTTTCCGGGGCTCCCCGCAGTTACGCAGCCATCACCCCATCACCGTCTCTTACGCCGCGTCATCTTCGTCGTTCCGTTTGCTGCGACGCCCTCAGCCTACGCTCACCACTGCTTCCGCATGGCTGGAGATGAATGATACACGAATTGTAGCAAACATGTGCCATCTAGCACGTGTATTTAGAGTGATGTGGACATCCAAGGAAGGAATTTAAATGCTGGTTTCTTCATCTCATTTCATTCAAGGAGAAATTGTAGTTTAACTTACATTTTTTTATTGATTTTTGAAGAGTGAAATGTACGAGCAGTAAATCAACATTTGTCACTAAAATTATGTCGTAGCTCTTCATCAATTCAATAATACTCGTATACTCTGACAAACTTTAGACACTATTCAGCTCGAAAAATAGTCACCGGTGAATTTATATGAGCAACACTGAATTGTCTTTATGTATACCAAATACTATCAATTTTGTACTGCTAATTGGATCAATTATTGTCCTGCAATCGTCAGTGACCAATAAATCTGGCTGCTAACTCGTCAAGGTTAATAAAATACAAATCTTGACGTGTGTGGTACATAGCATTGATAAATCGTTTCCCTGTCCTACTGTTTTCTAAGAATGGTTTCAGTGTTTATACGGAGCCAAGTCATACAAATAGATAGATGTAGTTAATACGTCGTTCAAGTTAATTGTAAAAACCACATTAGAATAAAACTAACGGGTGTTTAAGTGAGAGGGGCGTGTCCTCCCACCGCCAGTGACGTCTGTGGCAGCTACATCTTCTTCCAAATCGTTGGAGCCGTTAATAAAACTCTAAATGGTATTTTCATCTTTAGTGCACGGAAACGGTATGGGAAAACTTTAAAATCCGTTATATGACTTTCGTTTCATCAGCAATTTTACGTGTGTGAGTTAGATTTTCTCTGGTGGTGAAAATTAGATTTTAGTTTAAGAAATGTATGTTATCTAATTTGCATATAAGATTGCAAATGTATTAATACATTATTGAATTTAGAACACTTTCATAAATGTTTTTTAGTCTATGTATGATTACCATCTTCTTCCTTTGTTATTCTGATATACACAATCCAAGTCTTCGGTTTCGTTGTAGAGAGACTCCTTTGTTACGAATCCCAATATATCTCTCCGTTTATAGTCCACATTTGCAACTTTTCCTAAATATTTATAAACGGTCTTTATAAACACTCCTTCAATACCTCCAACCGCCTGAATGTAAAAGAAACCGATCTGAGAATATAATACAAATAATATTTTATTTTCGTTTGCCATGAAAACGTAGAAAGGGGAAGGAGAGGAGAGAAAAAGAACGAAGTAAGAGACAGGAAGAGGGGAGGGAAAGAGGAGAGACGGGAGGAAAGCAGGAGAGAGGGAAGGAAGAGAGAAATGGGAGACGGGGAGATATGTGGAAGAGAAAGAGAGACAGACAGACAGACAGACAGACAGAGAAAGAGAGAAAAGGAGAAAGATGAGAGGGGGATAATCCAATTGAAACAGTAATTTATGAATTTAAATGAATAACTAAATTAAAAATGTTGAACTTACAATACCTTATTTTGTATTTCATTTTATTTATGGAATGCCTTTTATATACAAATGAAATAAACATTGATTTGTGAAGTATGTTTTGCCCATTTAATTTTGTGTTGAGGTTTTGTTTCAGTACCAAAATATCGATATTTCCTGACCCATTTTTAGAGATAAATATTTCGCTCTCGACTAAATGTCAATTTAACGATTATTGATTTTTTTCCGTTTTGGGGCGTCCCATAGTTGCGAGTGGTAAGCATTACAACCGAAGCTGCCCTTCCCTCTTCTGATGTTTTGGAAACAGCGCGTTCCGCGATGATTCGAGCGCGTGGAGGCAGAGGGTGGGGCGGAGGGGGGAGTGGGGCGTGGAGGGAAGGAAGCGGAAGTGGAACCGGAGGAAAGCATCTGCGTCGTTAACCCCATCCTTTAAGACGAACCGGGGGCCACCGCTCTCTGGCGCGTGAATTTCACGTCTCACTGAGGGCGGGATGGGTGACGCATGGGACAACACGGAGGGGCATCACACGGTACACCGCCGCAGCACAATGGACGAAGACGAAGGACAATTTTTTTTCGAAATAGGCGTGATGGATTTGCACTACGAACAAAAACTGAGGTGTTTGAAAAGGGGTTACGAAATGAATATACTCTTCCGTTGCGTTGCTCGATGTGCAGTCCGGAGGCGTAGATAGAGTGATGACTCGCAGAGAATTTGTGTTACTCCACCTCTTCAACTTAAATGTTTATTTTGTAGAATAGTCTATAAATAATTTGGAAGTTAACCCATAACGAAAAAAACAACAACAATTATTCGCTAAATCTGAGACCAAAATATTACTTTAATTATAGATTATTATATATAGTTGGTTGTGAAACTTATGCAATGAAAGGGATGCAAACATATTTCAAAATCATTAAGATTACAGAAAATTAAAAAAAATGTTTTGACTTCATGAGAATGTCAATTGATTCTGTATTTATCTATTACTTACAATTCCGATTTTATAATTTTATTGTATTGATTAATTACAATTCATTTTAAATATATTAAGGTGGACAGAATATATCTTTCGGAAATTTGTTATAATCCTACTTGGGAGCACAGCCTTACATTATATGAATCAAAATATTGTTAATGGTTGGAAAATTGTAACTTTTAATTTAGATTTACAAAAGAAAATTATAAAAACCATGGAAATAAATAATTGATAAATATAAAATCAGTAGACTACCTCATTTCAATTTTTTTTTAATTTTCTGTATTCCGTGTAAATGATATTCAAATCTTTGCTTATATTCCTTTCATTGCATAAATTTCACAATTCTTAGGGATAACAGATTGAAATATTAAGGAATAATTATAGTACTAACAAGAAAATACAATACAAACAATTTCAATCACTTACAAGATCCCAGTGCAATATTATGATAAAACTAGAGTGTACATTCTAAATTATAAGAGTGCAATGTCGTGTAATAAACTATATTAAAATTGAAAATAGAAAAAACTGAAATATAGTATACGGTACAACCTCAGGAAGTCGTTTAAACCGGCACTTCGCACCGTTCTGGCGTTTACTAGGCAGTTAGAATTCTGGAGGCTTTCTTGAAAAGTGATTTCTTATAAAAGTGAATTGGTAATTATGCGTTGGATAGACTCAAGGATGTTCATAGTGAATTCGAGGGCTGAAGGCCCGAGCCTCGCCGTGACTTGGTTCCGGGCGAGCAAAGCGAGAAACTTGCCTTTGAATGTAAATTGGCATTACAATGTGGCGGGGACAAAGCATACGTAGGGCAAACCATGAAAATCGCCCATCCGTAAGTTTTATTCATTTCTATTACAGCACGTACAGTAATTAGGGCTTAAGCCCCGCCGCCACGCTTCTTTACGGCTGTACCGTATACAAAATTTTAACCATAGAAAATACAGAAATTGTAATTATTTATCTTGATGCAACAATTGTGGTAAACAGGTGGTACAGAGCGTCAACAATGCATAATATTGTTTAATACATTTCTTCTACAAATAGATTTTGACACAAAAATACATGGACAAATCACCTCCTCTTTTATCTTCAAAAGCGGTTTCAATATTTCCGGGTCGATATAATCTCTACAACACTTCTGCTTTCGTACGGCAATTATTTATCCTCCAAGAAACTAAACAGTATTATAGCAAATACTATTGCAAACGTATTCATGAAGGCATATAAATGATGAAAGAATAAATTGTAACATTACATTAATACAATTTCTTACCTTAACACGACGTGGATATCCAACACCCATCCGCCATGTTTCGTCCGAGGCAGCAACGCGAGCAGCGATCGACCCCATCATTGCAGGTCTTCACAAGTGGAACGCAGTTCAGCAAAAAAATCACTATTACACACGAACTGCATAACACGTACACTAACACTACTACTAAACACAAACTAGCCCCATCAACAGATGCGGCTTTCAGCCTCACATACAATGCATCGTACTCTAGAGAGAAAATAGAATTTAAAACACTTTCGGTTTGCGGGAACACGAAACGGAAATATACAGCAGGCGCACGTCTTTACTCTACAACAAATCCCGAACTACTGACGCCCAACCAGACGTCTGTGACCTTGTCTATGACGTCACTGGGGGCGTTTTCGCGCTACGTTCCCCGGTAAGTTTGCACCGACGCGTAGCCGAGCACAAGGACAACCAAAGCGGGACGCTCAAGTTTGGATAACTAGTATGTATCGGTATCAACGAAATTTGACAGAATGAAGTTCACGAGTGAAACTTTTATTCAGACTTGTTTTTCCACTCGACAGTGTTACGATACATTAGTAATAAAGAAGCATGCTATTTTTGGTCCTGATGAATTTCCTCTTTGTATGATCCCCTAAGCATGGTGTTAAATAGATGATTTCTGTTTCGAATCACGTTTTATTGAAATTGCTCACGGGCACGATTCATTGTCACGTGCTCAATGGCGCAATTACGTAAAATATAGAGTACTTTTAGTCTGATTTACTCAGATATCATAAAAGTAGCCATTAGTTGTGTTAATTGTGTTAACAAATGAGCAATGACAATTTAATATTGCATTGCGTATGCACCCAAGAGTAGTGAAAATGTTTTGAATTTTTATTTTCTCATTTGCTATAATTATTGTAATTTCATGTTCTCATAATTGTAATAATAATTTTTATCCGAATTAAAATATGATTTTTAATGCATATTACCACAAAAGAATTGTGTCTTACAGGATTTTTCACCAACTGTGGGCCACGCTCACAACTTCTAAACGGTTCACGATATCGAAATGCAGTTTTCGCTCAACAATGCGGAATCAAGTAGCATGTAATATGCCGCAGAGATATTATTTGGGATATTTTTATTTTTCGACAAAATTTAATCACCTTTGATTTTTTAAATGTAACTACAGATTAAAAATGTAATTTTTATTTTCATGGCGAGAAAAAATGAAACATGGGCATCAACTGCACTGATACAAATTAAACATTATAAAGTGTCAAATGGTATTACAGTGATGGATTTTTCATTTCAATATTGTCATATACATTAATTTTCCGTACTGTAATATCCGTTGCGCAACATAGGACAGCCTGGTTTCTCTGAACAGGTCAAAGTGGCGAGAACCGTGGATGAACATAACGAACGACAATAGGTTGTTCGATGCAACTGCGGTTCTCTTTTGTTCAAAACCTATAAGACATTTCAAATTAAAAGCGTGATCTCCAGAAACGCAATAAGCCGAATCAATGAAGCACATCCACAGTGTGTGTCCTACCATACTTTGCAGTAAAACATAATAATTTGCAACATTAATCCATATAAATGCCGATCTCTGTCCATTAAGTAACAAAGTATCTGTCCCATGATAACCATTGTTATAGTTTAAGAGTTATACACTTATTCTATATAAAAAGTATTTTCTACTATTTCACCTTAAAATACCAATTTTAACTTTTTTTAGTTGCAACAATATTCCAAAAAAGCCTCGACGTGTTCTTGTTTGAACGTTTGTTCGGTGCATGTAACTCTGTTCGTTATATTACTAGCAGCAACATGCCCTCATCCGAACAAAGCTAACGAACAAACTCCTAACAACCGAGAGTCTGGGAAAGGCAGCCCGTCAGCTGCTGAGTTGAGAACATGACGCGCGGTATAACATGGACGCCAAGTATGCATTCCAGATTCGGTTAAAAACGAAACGCTCACACACGGGCGAGTAAAACTGAGTCGTATTCCATTTGTGGATCTATTTACATGTGGTTTGGATTGCAGGTATTGTAATGGAGGGAGGTATTCAAATGGCTTAAAGGCCTAAGCATCGAGCCACATAGCATCGAGTTATGCAAATATATAAATAATAATTTGGGATTAAGCCGGCCCCTGTGGCGCAGGCGGTTGCGGCAGACGTCATCTGCGCTGAAGAGGCTGCAGCTTCGAATCCTGCATAGGCATGGACGTATTTGTGATAGTTCCTTGACTCCTCCTTATCATCATGACACCTCATGGTTCATGTTTCCAGTCTAACAACCTTAACTGAACAATAGACTCTTCCCAAACGTCTGTTCCTCATAGCGAGTAAAAAGATTTACCCTCCGAGGTAAATATTTCCGCGTCTCGGAGAATAACATGTAGCGTAGTTCAGTATGGTCGATATTTTCTGATTAACAAATACCAGTTAAATTAATAATATAAGAAAATACTAGTTTTTTTTTCTTGCGGACTCGAAGTTTGTTCTGTCATGTGAGAGATTATTTCTGTATTTAAAGATGCCAAACTAAAGGAGGAGAGGCGTAAGGTGTAATTCATTATTTCGTGTTTCCGTTCTATTTCCCACCAGGGCGGAACCACCCACTATGTACAAGCTTCTGATTGGTCTTCAACATGCGTGAAAATCAACTTCTGTGATCATCACACCCATAAGTGTAGGGTTTTTATCGCGGCAGAGGGCAGGAGGGCGCTTGTAGTTGGTGAGTAACAAGTAGAAATGATTCGCAATCCATTTCAAGAACGTTACGTAACTTGTGTTAGGGTTGTGATACAAGCACACCTTATGATTTTTGTTATTTTGTCATCTGAGGTATGTTTGCAAGAAACCATTTATTTACGCTGTAGATGCCACATTTATGATTCAACGCCTTTGAAATGATCAAATTTAGGAATCCAAACTAAGGCAATTGGGAAAGAAAAACAGGCAAGCGGGAATACGGGGTACGGGAATGTTATATATACGGGAATGATAATGACACAGTTGCATTATACCTTTAAGATAACAGTGAGTTGCTACTAATATGATTGATAAGAATGGGTGAAAATCAGAACGGTATAAATGACATTGTATAAATTCTGAAAAATCTGTTCATGTAAGTCAATATCACTTGACGTTGTGTTGCTTTTTTTCATCATTAATACCACCGCATTTTAATTGATCATTAAAGCCACGAAAAATCATTGCCACTGAAATATAGCCTAAAATAAACACATTTTTCTCAGAATTTACATAATGTCAGTTATACCGTTCTGGTGTTCACCCATTCAAATACCCTTTATTAGTACAAAAATATTTAATTACGTAATTTAATCATTTATTTACGTAAAAAATTAATTAGTAGAACGTTATATTCGTCATGCCCTTTCCTATTCTTTTTTTTTGAAGTCCCAACCCAGGGAACATTTCCCAATCGTACCCTATTTAAAACAAAGTACGCTGGGGCTCTCGGTGATGCTCCACTGTTTTACTACGTGTTGAAGTTATCGCCCGCCGGGCAGAGTCGAGTGTATAGAGGGCGAACCTCCTCGCCGTTCGAAGGCGCAAGTGGAAATCCGTGCGCCCTTCGACGGCCAGGTAGCGGCGCGCGTGCTGCGCGCGGGTTTCCCTGCGCCCGGAAATAGCGGCGTGTTTAGCCCCCGTCCCGAAATACGTAGCCGAAACAGCCGTCAGCGCGAGGCCGCCTGGTCACGCGCGCTGTCTCCGTATGACGCGTGGGAGCAACAGAGGCGGAGGTGGCGGGTGGTGGAGGAAGAGACTGCCGTGGCGGTGTAGGTGGGGGAGAGGTCGAAGTCGGAAACGGAGTTGGTCGACGGAGGCGGTGGTGGAGGAGGTGGAAGTGGTGGTGGTGAAGAAAGCTGGAAGAAGAGAGACGTGGTGGTGTAGGCGGAGGAGTCGAAGATGGACTCGGAACCGGAGTTGGTGTCAGCGACGAAGGCGGAAGTGGAGGTGGTAGAGGAGGACGAGGTGATGAAGATGGAAAGAGAGGTGGGGAGAGAGAGACATGGTGCTGGAGGCGGGGGAGGAGTCGCAACTTGAGTGAGAAACGGAGTTGGTGACAGCGACGCAGCCGGTGGTGAAGGTGGTAGTAGAGGCAAGGGAGGTGGTGATGGAGGTAGATATGGAGATGGTGGAGGAGGTGGTGGTGGTGGTGGAAGTGAGAATGGAGGTGGATGTGGAGGTGGGAGTAGAGGTGAGAGCGCAGGTGGGAGTGGAAGTGGAGGTGGAGGGAGGTGGAGGGGAAGTTGGAGATAAAGGAGGTGGGGAGCGGCGGTGGACATTGGCTAACATTTGCGATCACTAGCTTATCTTAAAATATTATACTGTACACCAATTCAGTATTAATGTTTATTAGTTCGTATCAGATGAGGCGCTGCATCATCTGCGAGAGGGACGGCGCGGTGAGTATTGATTTGAAATAGAACATAGGAATGTAAGGAAACTACTTTTATTGAGATACAGTGCGATAAAATAATTAGTAATTATTAGTTAATTTAGAATGATGATTGTAACTGATACGATAGAGTAAATGGAAACTGTAGTAGTTTGAAGCCACTGAAAAATAACGACAAATATACCGGTAGTATTGAATGCGAACGAAAAATGTTCCTTCCTTTGTAACGGCTGACTTTCTGTCCCAAAAGGGCCATATTGCTTTAAGTTACATTTTTAATCCCATTTGAAAGTTCAAACAAACAAATTCTTTACAAAAAAGTATTCACGAGTCAGGTTCAATTGCTATTACACTTCTCGTCCTATTTGTTGTACTCTAGGCAATTCTTTTAAAAGTTAGCGTTCAAATGCTCGATTTAAAATCTTAGGCGGCAGTTAGGTAGTAGTTTTGTTATTATTTCTACCCATTGTGCGAAGAAGTTATGGTGGCGATGTTGGCGACGGCGATCGAAGCGGGAAGCGGGTTGGAGCGAGAGTGGGGCGGGAGCAGAGGCGGGGTGGGAGATGGAGCGGCGGCGGGATCGGGGGGTGGGGTCGAGGACAGCTGACCGGAGCGTGCGGAGCAGTGTTGGAGATGGAGTCGGTGGAGGCTTTGTCGTACGCTTCCCCGAGCACGGCCCGCATGTCACTTGCGACAGACCCCTCTTTGGCTGTTTTTGGAAGTGTCTGCGATGATCAGCGGTTTTAGTTGTGTTACTCCATTCCGTGAGCTCTTGGCTATTTTAAGATCAGACTAAGGTTACGCTGTCCCTTGGTAGTAAACGAAGAATATAAGCCCGGTAGTCGAATTCTCGTGTCTTATACATCAAGAGTTTTGTGATGGACAGAATACATTCACTGTAGCTCACTGTTCTTTCTAACGTTTTCCCTGAAATTTTCATTTTCCCATAGCTTTGCCTTAAAAGATCAACGGTATTTGATCCATTCATCAAGGTTCAGATGCTAGAAAGAAGTTCAGAGAGGAAGGTTCATCATTGGCAATAAAATTATATTTA